TATGTTAGTAGGAATACAGGCTAGGGAAAGGGAGGAAGATGAGAAAATGAATAATTTATAGATAGGGGGCAATAGAGGAGAAGAGGTGTAACTCAGGGCCTAAATGGGAATATTATGCCGTACGTGGATGGGAGGTGCTCCTATAAATCGGGCGGATCGAAGGCCGGCTCTCTATCTAATCCAAGGCGGGGCCCCCTGATTTATTCGCATGGAAATGAGATAAGGACCAAACAAGATGGGGCCCGGCCAATGGCGCCCAATTCCCCCTAACGGTCGTTATTTACACCAGTCCTCCACTTTTTTATACAACCTCTCCAAACCGATTTTCTTTTCATGGGATAAACCCTCGAGTTGATTTATTCCTTCCCTCCCACCACGGCTCCTCTCCCAGTGTATGGCTATCTATGGCCTCGGTGTGTCTCTACGTTTAAGGGCTTGTTTATGTCCGAAGAGTTTGTAAATAACAATGTCAGTGAACTCGACAAATCTACGAGCACTTCCGCGGTAAATAAACTCATTGGGACATTGGGGAAGTTTCTAAAGCCAGCATTTCTTACAAAATAATATACTGTAATGATCTGTTATACATTAAATACTGATGTATATATGTTTTTTTTTCGGCTTACAGAACAGAGTAGAATAGAAAAATGATTTTTATTCCGAAATCATGTACCCTTAGAATAACAATAATGAACAAATACAAAATAAAATACGTACCTGGATAAAAACTAACTTAATAAATATTCTAAAGATATATACAGTAATTTAAATAATAGTATGTAAACAACTACAAAAAAAAAAGATAATAAATAATAACTCATAGATAAAAGTGTTCAAGTAACATTTTTAAAAATATAAGGTGTTTCTATCCATAAGATATGAAAACAATCACATGCACGCTTTAAAATATTGCAAATTCTGCATGATAGTTTTTTTAAAAATTCCTAACAATTGAGCCTTTGAGCTGACAAAATAGTCCATCGTACAGATCCTTTTTATCAAATTATTAACACCCGCCTGAAACTTCGTAAATAGCTTCATCTCATCGTAACTTACAACTATTTTAATTTCGAAAATTCTCGAAATTGGGACGTTTTGAATCTGGAGATCGGCAAATGAATTTGGAGTATGGACGATTGATTAGAAGCTAAAATCGTCCATTTGGAACTTCGACGATTTGGAGCTTAAGGTGGCTATCATACAACCATATGTCGTTCGTAACTCAATTTAAAATTAATCAAAAAAATTTTTTTTAGGTTTGATAAATGATTTCGAAATAGTTTTTTATCTGTTTGTAAATAATAAACCATTTTTTTTAAATCTTCAAAGCAGCATTTTTCATTAGAAATTTATTACATATATTTTTTATAGCGAATTATCACTTTTTTTTTTTACATATGAAGAAAATAAAATCGTACCAGATGTTTATTTATGTGTATGTACACTTTCATACGAAAAAATGATTTTTCTGTCAATTTTAAACGAAACCATGAAAAACCTGTAATATCTCAAAACTGAATTTTTAAAACATTAATCTTCGTATGGTTTAATAGAATTTTGTCACATGGTGTCATTTTTATTTGTTATTTATTTATGTTTCATTTATATATTTAATATTTTTTCTTATAGTCTGATGATTCAGAATCTTCAGTTTGATTGCAATACTTTTAACGGAATACTTTAAAGTTGTTCCAACCTCAAAACTTTTTAATAACTTCTTATGGACTTTAAATATTATTTATAAAAAAAAAATCAAACAAAAGGTAGCTTTGAAACATATTATTTTCTTCGAACACTCCAAAGACTTATTTATTTTAATTCACAATAACCTCATTTATTTCTGTAATTAAAAAATAACTGTTATTTAATAGTAATCTATACTCGTTTTAACATTATTTCAAAAGTATATATTTAAAAACCTGATGAATAGTTATATATGTGACTAGAAATTTTAATGTCTGATTTAGTAATATATGAAAATATCACATACTTACAAATATTTCATATCCCTAATCTTTATGATCTTCAGAGTTTAACAATGTTATGGTCAGATTTACTTCAGTATTTGTTTTAAAACTGAAAAGGAAAATGTTTTATTATTTATAGTCATACACAAGAGGAAAAAAAAGTATTGGCTGCTTATTGATAAGATCGCACTTTTCATATGAAAGAGGGTCAAACACATGTGGGATTATTCATTAGTATTTGTTTAATACGAATATCGAAAATTAAACGAATGAGATAGTTTAGGTTTTTTTATTATAGAATTTTCACACCCGTATTTATTTTAACAATTTTTCAGTGGCATACGTTTGCAGACTAATACTAAATTTGAAAAGTTTTGAATTATGTTTTTGTAAATGCTTCAAAACAGATTCTGAATTTTAATTGACGTTTATTTTCGGTGGAAAAAAGTTTTAAAAAATATTCTTCTTGTGTTTACTATTTAGTTTCCGAACTAGTTGAAATTTGAATTCAAATAAAAAATTTTAAATAAAAATAAAGTTAATCATTATTCTTCTTTTTTTATAAACTGTTTACATGTATTCTTAGATTTTTCTTTATCATTTGTTATCCGCAAATAGCATATGGGAAAAATTGAAATTTTACATCATTTCTGTCAATAAAGTATCACATGTGAAAAGAGTAGATTTTTTATTCTTTATTCGTAATAAAATTTAATTTTTATTCCAACGATGCCTGATAGTTGTTAAAAACCTTTTTCTGATAAAGGAGCAATTTCAATAATAGTAACCGCCTTAAACTGAATAAATATAGTAATATTTTCAGCCATTTGAAATTATTATTTGCAAAAAATACGTTACTTTAAAAAAATGTGTAGTAAACATTTTTTTTTCTCTAGAATAAATATTTCGTTTTATTGGTTCTCTTGGAAATGTATACTATTCCGCGGTACTGACCACTTTTTATCAAATTATTAACACCACACAAAACTTCGTGAAAGGCTTCACCTTATCGCGACCTACAACTTTTTTTATTTATCAAAATTATCAGAAATGAGGCATTTTCAATCTGGAGGTCGACAAACTTTTGTTTATTTAATGATGAGGCACTAGAAAACCATGAGCACATATTTGCTTTCTAATTAAATTGAAATATAATCTCAAAATCGAGGAAAGATGTGGCCTACAAAAATATTTCTGGTGACCCTCCACCCCAAACACGTCAACCTATGAGGCTTTATAGGCCAAACGGTCAAACATTGTTGTAATCGAACTTTTCCCCCGATTTTTTGATAAAAATTATCTTATGATAGTAAATTGATTAATTTAATGGAAAACGTCCCATTTGTGATAATTTTCTATTCAATCGTTCACGAAGTTTTCTGAAGGATCTTTATATATAATACGATAGTTTTTCGCATTAAAGTCCATTTTCAGGCTTCATTCAAGAGTGATGGATTTTGGATTGGAAATGGTTGAATGTTAAGGTTAGTGTTGACCAAATACAAGATCAAGATGAGTCTTGCGCACCGTGTCTTGATCCTGGTCTTAGTCTTGCCCAAGCGTCTCGCAAGTCTTGCAGTTACTTATTGCAGTTACCTATTTATTAAAAATGTTACTTTAGATCTTAGAAAAAATGCTACAGGATATGTACATTTAGATGTTTTATTGACATAATCATAGTAATGTCCAACCAAATTAATAAAATTATCAATGATAATACATCTAAGGAATTGTCAAGAAAGATAGTGATATGTCCCACCTACGAATGGAAGAGTTGTAGAGTAAAGACAATCTATACAATGTCACCAATTATTTAAATAAAAATCTGTTGATTCCACTCACATGACTTTCCTACCGATTTTAAACAATTGTTTTCAATTTTAATTACCTTCATTAAAAATAACACAATTGGATTAGACCAATTTTCCTGATAACTGATCAGAGAAATCATTAGAGTACGATTTGTTTTATGAACGCAATATAAAGGGACAAGTGAACAATTATTAAAATCAATGTATAAAATTCAATACGTTGCTAAAATTGGTCCGATTTAGATTTTTTTTATAGTTTTGTGGGAAATTGAATAACCTATTAAAAAATGATACCACTACATACTATTGAGATATTACTATAATTTTTCAAAATGGGGAAACCTAACTAAACCCCGAATGAAAAATCAGAATGGTTAAATGCAAAAATATATTGGTTGCACAAATTCTTTACATATAGTAACTAAAATTGTCTATTATTAGAAACTATTTTGACTTAAATTTTACTCACAAAAACTTATTTTTTTGATCTGTCTTAGATTTGGCCTTGCAACTATTAGGCGGTCTTGCACTTTGCAAGACCAAGACCGATTTTGGGCAACAATAGTTAAGGTCACACTTCCTCTAAACTTCAGGCAAAAAAGTTATGAAGGAAAAGAGACATTATTTGCGACTAACTTAAAATGTATACATTTTTCTTGTTTCAATGATTATTTGAAAGTTTACTGAATTCCCTACAGAACAAGAAAAAATCATCAAAATTAAACATTTCTTATCCAAGATACAGACATGTTTTCGTATTTTTTGTTTGTTATTATGATTGAACTAGAGTGGTTTAACTGAGAAAAACAAAATTATTTCCTCTATTTCACAATAAATTGCATTAACTTATTTCTGTCATAAATTGTCAATTGTTTTCTAGCCAATATGGCTATGCAAATTATTAATAATTTAATAAAAAGGGGACTTTACCGCGAATGGTGCCTATTAAAAATTATTTTATTACTTTTTATAACATTTTTTTTTTTTTTTTTTTTGTACGTGAAATACAAAAACACCCACCTAACCTGGATTACACACACTTGTGCTTCATACCCGAAATCCATTTCTAGAACTTAAGACACTTTGGAAGGTAGTGCCTTGGGAGTGATGATGGTGTAGATGATGATTATCCCCAATCCGGCCCATTGCTCCTTCATCCCTATCAAACTATAGGGATCATTAAGGCGCTCGGCTTAACCCCCAATCGAAATAATGTACCCCTATGATTTATACACCCCTCCCCCATCGCCGTACGGATCCGGAGACACCTCTAAGACTAATAGAAGACCCCGAAGACGACGAGGTGACGAGGATGCGGATTAATCTAAGCCGCGGAGGAAGGCATGGTAATTATTAATAACCGGGGCACATCTGTGAACCCAATCGGCATTAGCCAATTGCCGCTCTCGTAATATCCCCTCTCCGCTCCTCTCTGCATCTCATATCCAAGTCCGCTCTGGGAGCTGAGGAGTTGTTGGGATCGGCTAGGAAAATTGAGGAATGTTAACGTTCGTTGTTAAGACTTTACAAAAATTTAGCTAATAGTAAGCCTTAAATTCCATCTCAACAAACAATAGGGTCTGCATAAAAACGAAATCGTTCCCGTGCGTAGACATATTCAAATACCTCGGCAATAAATTAATGGTGTACAGTGCTATAATGAAATATGATTGCGAGATCTTGACACTTACTAGTACTCTACAAAGAAATATTGAATGGTTTGAGAGGAAAATCCTCCACACAATAACCGAAGAGATCGGGATCAAAGAACAACTAGAGAATTTATTAAAAGGACCAATATAGAACTGCTTATAGAAGCTGGTCAATCAATATTTTATGATATGAAGGCAAGGAAGTTTAGATGGGCGGTGCTAATATTCTATTATTTAATTTAAATATTTAATATTTAGGTTCAAAATTGTCAAATTCATGAATAAACAGTATACAAATTAATCATTTTAACAGAATTAAAATTAAAATCATTTAAATTAAGTTATCATATATATAATATATATATAAACGGTATTCTACTAAAAATGGGTAAAGATACTATTATAATACCTTTAACCCTTTAAGGGTAAGTGTGCTAGGAAATAACTTTAGTCCTAAAAGGATGTTGTAAACCATGACAAGGGTGTCGTGTTTTTTTTTTCGATAAGGATCATCTAACATTTACAAATAATTTTTTTTTTGTTGTTTTCAATCCTTCAATAATTTTCCTAAAAATATTGACATCTTCATTTCTGTATGCGTTTCCTTGCCCAAATGTATAACATAAAAGTTAACATAACGATAAATGCAATTTTCGCATAATGGATGTTTGTATAGTATTTTATCGTATGTATATTGTCTAAAAAAATTCCTTGAAAAGTTACCATATTTTATCCTATAAAAGTCTTTTATTTTTATTAACAATATATTCATTTATTTTTGTAATAAAAAAATAACTATTATTTAATAGTAATTAAAACGTTTTATTATTATGTAAAAAGTATAAAGAAAAAAAAAGAATATGTTGTAAAAATCTGATGACTGGTTATATGACTACTGAAACGTGACTAGAACTTTTAATATTTGGTGTGGCGATATATATTTTATCGTAAATATTTTATTGAAACAATTTACAAGAAAAGTTATTATATTTTACCACGTTTACCATAAAGTGAATTATCCATAACATTTATCAAATATTAGGTCACTGAAAACAATGAAAAGAAATAATATTAAAATTTGAACTTAAATTATAATAAATTAAATAAACAGAGGAAAATATAAGTGTTATCGTATGCTCAATATATGAATTTTTACAAGGCTTTAGGATCATGGGCCCCAACATTTTCCGTTGATTTTATAATATCCGCAGATAAGTTATTTGGTTAGTTTATAATATTATGAAGTTACTGTTATGGAATGAGCTACTCTTCTAACCATATTACTATTGTCCTTAGATGAGACAGATCGTAATATTTCTCAATAAAGAATTGAATTACGTATTACTATAATATCAATCAAACATATAGCGGTTGCCTACAATTAGGATAAGGATATGAAAGGAGATTAAGAAGACAGATTGCAGTAGGGCACAGCCATCCACACCTGACTCCATGGTTTATCGTTCCCTCGAGGATAGGATGCTGATTTCTAACCCTTTCCCCCATTAAACTTTCCAAGGAGGCAGATGTTGAAGACAGCAAAGGGAATAAATCCCAATGAGGTTATAATCTACGATTGTTGTAAGTTAGAAGTTTTTCCCCGTTTGAATCATCCTTTCATGCAATCTTCATACTTCCGTTTTGATGGAAAGCCATTTTTCCAACTCCGAGTACAGCTGCAATCCACTTTTCCAACTTCCCTTTGTCACTGTTTGTTTAACTTTCTTTTCCTGTGGAAACTTTTCCCGTAATTTATTTTCTCGACGGAGGGTGGAGTTGTGGTCGGGGAAATGGCAGTATGAAAATGCTCAAGTAAAAGTATTTTACTTGATTCATTCTTTACGCCATCTGCCTTATTTCATAGCTACCCCCTTTTTTGTATCCACGGTATAAAACTTTCTTTTAACTTTTAATTTTTTTTTTGTAATAGAAACCCTTTCAAAATATTTTCTTTTTTTATTATTATTATTATCATAAAATTATTAATTGTAATATTAGGAACGTTTTAATATTTATACCAACTGCATTTTTATTGTTATTGATTCGCTTAAAAAATAAGAGCTCAATTATTAAATAAAATTGTTTTATATTACAGTAGATTTATTAATCCTAATCAGGTCCCCGTTTACCCGAAAACCCGATTAATCCAAAGTCAGTGAAAGAAAAAAAAAATCAATTTAAGTTATATATGACCTCAATGTTCCATATGTTTCCGATTTGGCCGAATCCAGATACCTATCCTTCCATAATAAACTTCATAACCATCCGAATCCTCTTGTTTCTAACCTTGCTTCCTCTTCGACTCCTGATAACCCTCCGAGGCGTCTGAAAAGAAGATGGCCTCGTGATCTCCTCATGTAGACAAATTATTAGAGTGCTACCAATGGGTAGTTTCTCAACAAGCGTGTTTCATGTTATTTTATTCCTCTGTACACATTTACTTGATGTATTCATACTAATACAGTTGTAAATATCATAATAAAAGTTAAAAAAAAAAAGTTATATATAAGGTAAAGAAATGCAATTAAAAAAATTATTACAATATATCAGCACGGTGAGAATTCTTATTTAGTGAAAATTTAAACATATATAGTAGACAGTAAAACTGCAGTATTTGACTTTATGAATTTTCATTTTTCATTGCATGATTGAGGCAACGATTTAATATTATAGTAACTTTTTTTAGAATCAATCTTTACCAAAAATACTGGGAAAAGCCCAAAACCTTAACAAAATATTTTTACAAGATTTTTAAGCGTGACTGCCGTCCTTTTAATTTTGTTTTGCTTTACATCAGGTTAATCCGAAGAGCCGCATAGAAACTGGGTTCTACAGAATTTCAAACTAAAAAAATTGATTGCTGTTATATTTAAAAAAATTTAATTTAAGTATTATATAATTTAATTGATACTGATATTTTATCAGAACATTTTTTTTTAAAGGTTAAAATTTTTATATACATTTAAATGTGCCTTTTGTTGCTGAACTATTATGGCCAATGTCATAAATGTTTAAATTTTATATTATATATACTTTGCCTCAATAACCTTCCCATCCATTTTTTTCCTACAGTCAAAAATCAAAGAGTAACCTTAGACCAGAACCGCTCCTGGAATAACCATATCTCCCAGATTACCCGAAAATCCATAACTATACTTAAACAACTCCTAAGATTCCGTGATTGTATTCCTCTAAAAACCAGATAGCTCCTTCTAATCTCTCTTATATTCCCCCACTTTGACCACGGTTGTTTGATGTATGGAGGGCTATCTGCCAGGCTAGAAATGAGACTGAAGAAACTCATGAACTGTTTCATAAGATCTTCGGGATCACCTGGCGTTCGCATGTATCGTTCTGGTACTCCGAGTTGAAGTGGCTTTATCCTACTTCCCGACGACAATTTCTCCTTAGTGTTTTTCTTTTCCAAGTCCTCAGAAGCAAAAACCCTCCCTACATATTAGAACTTCTTACTCTACGCTACTCTATCCACTCTTTTAATACTAGGTCACAACCTTTAGATTTATATATTCTCTCCCATAAAACTACTTTCTTCAGCAAATCCTTCGTCATTCGTGCTACCTCCTTTTGGAACTCTCTTCCTACCTCCATACGTCAATCCTCGTCCATAAATTCCTTCAAACAACTCCTGTTCCACCACCTACTCCACATTCAAACTTCCTCTAACATGTAAAATTATTTGTATCTGTATTCCGTTTAATTTCAACTGCTGCACAATTTCAATAACAATAAGCAGTTAATTAGTTTGTATTTATTTATTATTTTAAGCCAGACTAATACCCATAAATTTGTAACACTGCTATTATTCTTAGGGGACTGTAGTAACAGAATAAAATTATTTTTTCATGCATTCATTTTCATTCATATGTACTAAATGTTTAACTTTTTTTTTATATATATTAAAACACCAATCACAAATTTCAGACAGAACTTTTGTATTTTATTTTGTATATAATTCAGTTATAATTTTTTTTAATACACTTTTTTTGCAACGAAATGGATTGTAAAATTATCAGAAGCGTAAAATGGGAATGATTATTAAGGAAAACGACAGTATTTTTCAGTATTGAACAAATTGAAACAAAGGTTCGAATACATAGCTATTAAATGTTTTAATATACTTGCATACATTTTTAATTGTTTGTATTCTTGCAGGACGTGATTGTTGACGACAATTCGGTCTGTTCAAGCAACGGTCCAGAACAACCAATTGCTCCTGCCAGCCCGCCCTCAGATCCTCAACCTTCAACAAGTCCAAAGTGAGTCCAATATCGAAAATAAAATATTTTAAATATATTTATTTTATATATAATACTATCTGTATATTATTTTATTTGCCCAGATCGACGACAGGCGGCGCCAGCTCAGCCCCGAGCCCACAGGCCACACCTCCCAGCCATTTCCCTCAGGCCTTGTTCTCTCCCTTCTCATCTGACAGGTCAGTCACGTATGATTTATTTAATTTTTTTTTTTTTTTAAATTTTCCAAAACACGCCGATGCGGAAGATCGTGAAAACAACACTTTGAAGAAAACAAAAACCTCTAAACTTCCTTAACTTACCGTACGTTCCAAAAGCTCTAGAATTAATCAGGAGGAGACTTGTCATATTATTGGATTATGTGAAATATCGAAGCAATCCTCGGTACGACAGTTTAACTAGTGCTCTCACCTTTGCGGTGGACTAGTGCTCTCACCTTTGCGGTGGCAGAAAAAAGAATTCATATCTACAATAACATCAAGACGCTGCAAATATAACCCGTTTTACAAAAATACTATATTTACAAAAAATAAAAATCTGATTGATTCCTCAATAAAATATTACAATTTAAAACAGCAAGTAATAAGAAACCTAACTTCCAAAAACAATTGTATATCTCCTGAAAAGAATGTTAAGCCACATTTTTTAAGTAGGATTGATTAATTTTTTTAAATAAACTAATTTTATATAAACAAAAACAAATTGTTTTTTGAAATCAATCTCCTTCAGTGATATTAAAGCACCAAAATATTTAGACGAAAATTGAATGTTATACATTATCAATCAATTTCATATATATATTAGCTATTCAATGTTAATAATTAAATATCCTAAACTGTTTTAAAAGCTTTGATGGTTCATCTGTCACCTTTTTTCTGCATCAGAAATCAAGCAGGAAAACTGAAAAAACAAACAAGTTCTAGCTGTGAAATATACATATCAACGATTTTATTTGTGAATAAAATTGTTGATAATTTTGTTATTAAATGTTGAGATTTATATAAAATAAATACAAATTCTACTTCATTATTATATTTTTAGATTTCTATCCTCCATTTGTACTCTTGGAACCTAACTTCCAAATTTATCAAAATTTTATAAAAAATTATTAATTCTTATATTACGACTGTTTCTAATAATTTGACGCATGTAAATAAAAATCAATGTACATTATATGAATAATCTTAGTAAAGTATTTAGATAATTAGAAAAAAAAACTATGATTGATAATTAAGACAATGAATATAATTATAGGGAAACGATTTGTATATATGTTAATATGGAATAGAATAGAAAATAAACTTTATTCTGGGACAATGTCCCATAAGAATAACAATTATGAACAAAAAAACATAAAAATCTGGCCAAAATCTGCATTAATCAAAATTAAAAAATATTTGCAATATCTACAGTGAAAATATATAAAAATAAAATGTAAAACAATTTAGAAAAAACAAAACAAACAAAAAAACATTATTGAAATAAAAAGAAATTAGGAGAAATAAAAAACAAAATGTTATAAGCACTAGGAGTTGATTCTTAAAATTAAAACTCAAATAATTTCAACAAACATCCATCCACCTCAATCAAAATTTAATTCATAAAATTTATTTCAATGTACAAAGTCATTTCGGGATCTGAGAAGGAATTGGTAGAGATGATATTTGAATGAGGAGGAAGAGGTGGATATCTGATGGCAAGGAATTCCAATATACATTAGTTTTTTTTCGCGTGTTGGTATATTTAAAAATATATTAACAAAGCAACTATAGTACATATTTTTATTTAAATATTTGGGGTCGTGAGATGAACTCTCTATTCTCCGATGTTTCAAGTTTGCAGCGGGAAATGCGATAAAATATTTACTTACAATTGGAAGGGTACAAACATAAAATCATAGGATATGTTACTATATATAATTTGAACATAAATTAAAATTGATTTTAGTTTACATATTTTATTCGTGTAGATTTTTTGTTTAATTGTATGATTTTGTTTTGTTCTTCGAAATATTGGGGGAGAGAGTGAAACGATATTCTCACCACCTGTCTATTTATATTCAGGACCGATCGTTTTCTGTTCGAAGTCAGCGCCTATGAAGACAACTATGGTTGAAGAAACAAAATGGCTATGAGATCTTGAAGACGAGTTACTTGTATATGTAGATGAAGCAGTGTAGTTAATATTTGCGAAGGGAGGCCTATGGGTGAGGAAACAAGGTATTTGTTACACCTCAAGACGTTATTATCCCGAACTCATCTATAATGCAGGGAGCGGGGAAGGCGCAACGTCGGAAAGTCACACATACAAGATGAGGGGTAATTAATCAAGATAATGGCTAGGATGAGGATATCTCGGGCCAAAACTTATCAATTATTTCTAATTCGCTTATATATAAGTTGAGGTGTCGGGAGAGGTTGATGCGTCGGCGGAGTGGATAGCCTAAGTGTGTATCTCTCTTCCCTAACCGCATTAAACCACGAGCCGTAGCTGAATACTTGATGAAGCAACTTCCATCTTCTGACCAAGAAACCAACACCCCGGAGTATGAAAAATGTATATAGTAAAGTTTTGTTTAAAAATTCTATCAAGTTTCTGGCCTTGTTATTGAGTCAAGATCTCCCCCCTCCCCCGCCACTCGGCCAACTTGGGCCGCCTTTTTTCTTCAGCGAATAAATTGAATTTCATTGGAGGAGATGGGATAGAGTGGGGGTTTTTTATGTTTAAACTTTTACGTACTTTCCCCTTTGATGGTACAAAAATATGATAATTGTGTGAGCGGGGAAGATTTCCCGAGTCCCTCCCCCCCCTGGTTACATATTCATGAGGACGGATGATGATGTAATTGCCTGTGTGCTGTGGCCGATCCGGCTCGATATGTGCCTGTCTATTAATGGACTCTGCCTTTCATCTTCTTCTCAACCGATCCGTAACCAAGGCAAGAAATGGCGAAGACAATAAAAATATTCTGTTACTAAGACTAAGACCATTACTGTCATTACATAATATTTCTATTACTGTATACTATTAGAGCAAGTTACATCTGTCTATCTATCCATAAAATGGATTTCGAAATCATGCGGAAAAATTTGGCATGATAAGGATTTTTGAGACCTAGAGATGGCTTATTCTCTACTCAAGGCTTATACTCTACTCAAGAAAAATTCTTATCTAATTACAAATGTATATGAAGAGAAGGATGGTTGAGGTGATCGGTCAGAAATAAGAAGGCGAAAATAAATAATAATATTTATTTTAACATTTGCCGACGTTTCTACCTGAAGTTCAGGCCTTCATCAGGGCTGTTCCACTCTATTCCAGTGGAACAGCCCTGATGAAGGCCTGAACTTCAGGTCAAAACGTCGGCAAATGCTAAAATAAATATTATTTATTTTTGCCTTCTTATTTCTGACTGATCACCCCATCCTTCTCTTCATTATTCACGACAGTCAACCATTAACCCTCAATTACAAATATATATTTATGTTTGTGTAAATAACTAATCGACCTGTGATAAAAACAAGAAAATACAAATCTCACAGGTTTGGTCCAACCATACAAACACTTGTTTTCAACATTGCTTCCTCCTGGATTCTTGATATTCCTGTTAGGTGTCTGAAAATAATATGACCTTAGGTTGTTCTTACTTTGAAATATTCAGAGAATGCTTTGTAGTATTTCGACAAGTATGTCCATGACATTATTCTTGATTGCTACCATTTACTAATTATATCTAGTTAATACTGTTGTAAGTAATATCAATACAAACAAACAAAAAATGGAATAAGAGTATGAACGAAACATACTTCCTAATTAACGATCGAAGTGATTTATTCCGGTTAAATTTCATTCTTTAAATGAACGACTCGACAGTTATTACATTGATTTCGTCTTTATTATTCATAAATTATTGCTATGATATGAATTTAAATATTATTCATTAAACGGTGACGAGATTACCAAATAAGATGGTCGTTTCTGTGGCGTGGACGGCCACGTCACGAAGACCACGCCAGAGGCTTCTGGGCGTGGTTGAGGACTTCCTGAAAAAGGATTGGGCTCCGAAGGTGGCAAATGCTTTCTCGAAAGAGTTGCTGAAGATAATAACAGAGGTCTATGTTCTTGTACTTACCATAGTGTCATAAATTAATTATAATTATAGTATTTTTTTACTTATGTGAAGAGTGATTGCATTTTTTTTTTTTTTTTTATGATCCCCTACGTGACATTTCTTCCCCGACAATACTTACCTCCTCGCTGTGATTGTAGAGGCACCGGTAATTAAGACGCGATGAGTTAATTGCCCGGGACAAAGAAGGCACATCTGGCGGGAGTTGATATCCGTGGGAGTAATAGGACCACCCTCGACGCCACGCGCCGAGGCACAATCACATTACACCGCCCGCTCCCATGTCACTCTTCTATGTCCTATCGCTTGCTGTTTAGTTCTTCCAATCAGCATCCCTTCATGTCCATGTCTCAGTCGAAGCCTTCATAATGAGGGATAGGCATTATTAGAAGCAATTTTTTAACCGGATAATCAAGAAATTGGTTTGCGATTTATGTCACCCAAAACAGCTACAAATCACTATCTGTTTGATGTGGTAGGCTACAGTATTTTTGTCTTTAGCTTCTCTTTTTAAATCTTATTTATGTCTTCCAAATGCAAGTAAATTTGTATTGTACAAAATTGTGCATTGTACATCCTTAATAACTTAGGCTTTTATCTAATTTTATTATCAGACAATAATTATAAGCCCTATGGCCTTTAGATAAAAAAATAAAAAAACACATAGTTTTTAGCGATTTTTTTCAAAATACTCACCGAAATATCAGGAGTCATTCATTACGTAAAAATTGGTGCAGCCGTTCACCAAAAAAAAATCGTTACATACCTTTTAGTGAACAAAAAAACATTTTCCTGCGGCTTCTTCTTAGTTGTGTAAAAAAGAGAAAAAAAAGTTTATTATTTTCTAGCTCCACATAACTTTTAGATATAGCGTTTTTGTATTTTTTCAAAAATAATTTAATAGAAAACCTTTTAAGATATGCAATAAATAACAATGATAATTTACAAGAATTATTTGGTTAATAAGGTTATATTTCTTAATATGTTTATTATACCAAAACTATTGTTATTTGTCTATTAATAACCGTTAACCACCGTTTACAAAGTTAAAATAAAAATTATCAAAGATATAAAAAAAGTATTTAAAAAACATAGACTTAGTTAAACATTTTTTTTTCTTTGGCATAAATATAACAACGTTTTAAATCTTAAAATATTTTTACATTATTTTTTCTAGTAAATTTAAATACTATCCAATGGATTGGTTACAATAATTCCTTCTTGTTAGTTTTTGCTAGTATTTATATATGCAATATATATGACCTTTTTTTTTTTTTTGTTTTTACCAATTATTATTA